AAAAAAAAAAAAAAAAAAAAGAGGCATGGCGCACAGTGCGCACATCGCAGGGGTAGCACATCCCCATGCGCTGCGCGCACGGCGCACCTCGTGCGCACTTTCGCGCACGTGCGCGCGCAGTGTCACTGCGAGCAGTCCGCATGGCGCAGCACACCGCACCGCATAAATGCGCCGCAAGTATGGTAAATTCAGTTTCCGAGAATGTGACAACCTCCTATTGTGCCTAGCAACGAAATGCTGATAGGCTTCGCAAAATTTCGGCTTTCAGAGACCAACTTTTGGCGAAATAGAAAGGAGATTCGATTTTCAGAAAAGGATAGATTCCATTTCCCGAATACGACAACCACCGTCGTAACCCTAATATGCCTAGAAAACGAGATGCTCAAGTCAGAAATTTTCGGATATAAAAAAAAAACGAAATACTACTATCAGAAATTTTCGGATATTTGCTATGTAAAAAAACGAAGTGCAAATATCGGAACTTTTCAGATAAAACGAAATGTTAGTAGCAAAAATTTTCGGATATTTGTTGCGTGAAAACGAAATGCAAATATCAGAAATTTTCAGATAAAACGAAATGCTAATATCCGTGGTTGTGAAAAAAAGAAAAGAAAAAGAAAAAAAAGATTTGCAGAGATTTTGACGAAACCCTACTCGGCAGGGAGTAGGACAGTGTTGAAAGGCCTCGGAAGGAGCGTTAGGGATTCCAAGGGTTTCCGAGCATTTCTAGGAACCGCCAGGCCTTTTTTATGTTTTCAAATTACGAATCTTTACGTAGTTAAATCCAATTCTCAAAAAAAGGGGGTAGTCTGTTCTGTCCTTAAAAAGTCTTCTGGATCCTGGGGTTTCCTGGCAATCTCTTCTAGGTAGTTTCAAGGCGGTAATACTTGGTGACCTAAGGCTGTTCGACGCCAGAACGACGCTGGCCGGTGCTGGGGTGTTGCCCTGTAACCTGTTGGTGCAGGGGCATGAGGCCTGGTAGAGAGATCTGGGGGTGCTTTGGGGGGGCATCCCACGGGACAACCAAGGGTTGCTGCTGAGACGACGCCGGCCGGAGCTGGGGTGAGGTGTGTTGCCCTGTAACCCAGCAGGATGGGGGGTGTGAGGCCTGGAAGCTTGGCAGGGAATACGACAGTGTTGGAGATCCTTGGAAGGATCTGTTAGGGATTTTGTGGGATTGGGGGCTTTTTTAGGACTTTTGCAGTCTATTCCCGTACCTTTTCTGAGTAAYGGGAAGGTAAGGGATCGAGAGAGAAAGGTATCACRCATCYTGCTAGTGAAGGGGCTAGCTGGTAGGACAGAWATAGGGCATAGCARCAGTAGAGATGGTGGCTTTGCTGCAGT